AGAAATATGTCCACTAATGCAAATACAAAAAAGTAAACAGAAGCAGGTAAATAAACCAATAAGTTCACTTCAGTGCCAAACAGAAATGAATTTGGGATTACACAATCACTTACCTTTATAAGCATGGATAATCTAGAATTCCATATATTAGGATCTATTTATAAGTCATAACTTCTTATATATAATTTCTTTTTTGCTGCTAGCTGGTACAGGGATCAGAACCCTTGACCTTGGTATTGTCAACACTGCACTCTAACCAACTTAGCTCACTGGCCAGCCAACTTATATATAATCTTGATAACTGTCAATATAAAACTACGGTGGCACTACGAGGACACTTCAAAAAGTTCGTAGAAAATAGAATTAAAAGATAATCCAAATCTTTCCATGAACTTTTTGAAACACCTTTGTATTGTAAAACAAAGGTTTACATTTCAGAAGTGAAAGTATGTTTGGAGAGCAGGAAAAAGCATGTGTGCATTTCATCTTTTAAGCAAAACTCCATTACAACAAAAATTTCTGTAAAAAAAACCAACAAAAAAAAGGTTTTCTAAACTCCTCTGGTAGCCCACTTTTTTAAAGGTGGTATTGGATATAATCGACACCACTGCAAAGGAAGAATTTGGAAAATCCCTTTTAGTCATTGGGTAGAATTCTACTTGGAATACTCAGGAGTATATAAACATTTTGAGGTAGCAAATACATATGTATCACACTAATGGAGAAATTAATATTGGCTAATGGTCAAGGGGCTAAAAATAATCAAACAATTTAGTGGTTACAAGTGTGGGCTTGAGGTCAAATTGCCTAGGTTTAAATGCTGGCTCTCCTACTTACTAATTGTATAACCTTGAGTGTTTTCATCAATATTATGGGGATTTGATGAGATAATGAATTAAAGGACCCAATACATAATAAGTACTTCAAATAATAGTTATATTAAAACTTGTTAAAAAATTTTAAAATACAGTATTTTAATTTCTTTCATCCTTGATTTTTTTTCCTATCCTTGATTATTTCCATTTTGTAATTCTCCCAACACATCCTATTTACAAAGACATATAATAAATGAATGTAATACAATAAAACCTAAGTTATCCTTGGAAAATGAATCATTCTGGATATTTAAATTTTGCATGTTACCTTTATAGGTATCCAAAAAGAAAAAAGAAAAAAAAAATCAACGAAGATAAAACTGTTTCCTAAATGTATTATATACTACCATACCTTCTTAGAGAGAGTATAATGTTTGTAATTAAATTTTTTTGAATCACTATTGTTAAAAATATCAATCATAATTCTATGTTAAAATTTCACAGTCCCTTCAAGATTCTACTTAAGATTTTTTTTTTTTTTTTTTTTAAAGATGACCGGTAAGGGGATCTTAACCCTTGACTTGGTGCTGTCAGAACCACGCTCACCCAGTGAGCCAACCGGCCATCCCTATATGGGATCCGAACCCGGGGCCTTGGTGTTATCAGCACCACACTCTCCCGAGTGAGCCACGGGCCGGCCCTACTTAAGATTTTTTAACGTGTAGTCCTTGGATAGAAGTCGGGGGAGTGTAAAGTTAGATGGGAATATCTCTAAAAATTATCATTTGTTCGATTATGAATGTTGGCAACAAACAGTAGTATTACCTACATCTGTTATCAGCAATATAAATCACAGATACTTAATATCATGATTGTTACAAACTCTGGAAATATTTACTTTTATCATTTCAAAATTTTGGTCTTTATTAGACCCATTACATCTTTCTTACTATGTTTATAAAGAACATATATTCCTATATCACAAATTTGTTTCTTATTAATATTCTGATATATTTCAAATGTTTTCTTTTATAATGCAAAGAATTTCATTTTATACATGCGAGAGTGATTTTTAAAATTCATGGAAAGACTCATTATCGTTTAATTCTATTTTTCCATGAACTTTTTGAAGTGCTCTCATATAAAACATTCTGAGAAGAGTCTGTGGCTCTATCGGACTGCCAAAGGGGCTTATGGCACAAAAAAATTAAGAATTCTGACCTCAAAGTTATGCCAATCTGCTGTGCTCTGCTAATTCACAACATTAATGTTCTATTATACTTTTATACTTAAGCTTGTTTAAAGTAGGGTAATACAAATTGGCTTCTCCGGGGCTTTTCTTCATAGATCTCCCCAGATATTCTGAGTTCCCTTTGGTAGGTGGGAATGCTTAATAATATCCTTTTACCTTGGCTTCTGAAGAACAGAAGAAAACAAATAGAAGAAATAAATCAAATAAAACTACATTCAGATGGCACTTAAAGTAGAAATACAAAACATCCTACTCTTTCTAAATTAAGAGACAATATGAAACTTCATTTAACAAATATTCAGAAGTTAACTACATAGGTTCAAATTCTACTTCTGCCATTTATTAGCTCTGTCACCTTAGAATATTAATCTGTGCATAAGTTTCATTTGTAAAAGGGGGCTAATAAGCACAGTATAGGGTACATGATAAGTTCCATAAATATTCCTCGTATTTATTACTATTATACACTTATTTCACACTATGGCTAGCTAATGCCTGACTGGTTACTTTAATAACTTATTTTATACTGCACTGCAGAGTCTACAGTATCCTTTCACACACATTATGACATTTGAACCACACAATAACCCTGTGAGAAAGGACAACTATTATTACACCTAGTATAGTGGTAAAGAAACAGACTCAAAAGATAAAATAACCAGACCAGTATCTTACAAATGGGAAACAATAAGAACTCAAATCTGGGTTTTTCCCTCCATCATCATGCCTAATCCTGTGCTTCTAATATAATTGGCTAGCTAGCAGAAAGAAAAAAAGGAAAGATTACTCAGGGAGAAAGAAGAGGGCATAGAGGTCCAGTAGGCCATGAGGTGAACGCTTCAGGGCTCTGCTACTTACACCGTGGTTCAGATCTGAAAAATCTGTATCACCTGCCAGCTTGTTAATAATGTCTAATCTCAGGCTCCACCCTGGCATACGAAACCCGCAGTCTTAACAAAACCCAGGTGATTCCGATGGACACTAGTTTGAGAAGCAGTTTCACTAATTGCTGAAGTGACACTATATGGTCACTTGAACAGTATATATTAGACCGCCTATCACTGACCTGTGACATTGTTATTAGGTAATACTTCTTGCAACAGGTTGTGTTGTTTATTATTTGTTTCTAATTAAGTACATCTTTAAAACCACTTTGCTTTTCCACGTAATTCTTAAAGATCTCCACTTTGCTGAATGGGGTTATTTAAGGAATGTTACAAAACCTTAAGCAGATCGGTGCTTACCCGCCTTTAAATTCCTTTTAAAAATTAAGGTCTTAACTATCTTTTGCCTGAAGGATACACTAGCGAGCAAAATCCCCCTCTCCAACTTTACACCTGGCAGATTAGAACAGGCCCATCCTACGCACAAAACCCCCCCCCCCCATTTCAGTAAGTAGTGCATTTTCCCGACCCAAAACTCTGATTTTATGAATTTCACCACTTTCTGGCTTAAGAACTGCAACAACAAGAGGGAAAAAAAAGATACTAAAATGTTAAACCTGTTCCCATACCTAAACCTTAGAGGACTGTGGCGGTTATTTACAGAGACAAGGAGACAGCCCGCCCCTAGCCCTCGCTTCTCTACCCTAATCAATTCACAACTGAGTTTGATTCCGAGGCTGTTGTAACTCAGGAACTGTCCACCGACCTGCTCTTTTCAGTACTCATCCTCTCGGGTCAGAAATGCACTACATTTCGGCACGTGGGAGCGCTGATCAGCGGTCAGCCTGAGGTCTATCTAAAATTACTGCTCCCTTTTTGAGGGTCGCCTCCTCCCGCTGGTTAACCAGCCCAGGAGCGGAGCGAGTGAATATGGTTCACCTGCTCCACTGAAAACCTCAAAAACCCTGCCCACCCTCGACTAAATGTATCCAGTAATTAATCTGTGGTACCTCCCACCGCACATTCCTGATTGGGCGCGTGAAAGAAGGATGTGTCGGCTCGCACTCCTACCAGTCCCGGAATTCCATTTCCTCTCCCTCCCACCAACATAGGCATTCAGGGGCGGCGCTTCCCGGGCCACGGTCGGCCCCAATTGGAGCCCATGCCACACTGCATCTCGCGAGAATTTGTGGTTTTGGGGGCGGGCCCCAGGCAGGAAGAGCGCACAAAACTCCTCTTAAGTCATTGCACAGCTACAGCTCTGGTGAGCGTGCCACGAGATTCTCGCGAGATCCGCCGCCTCAATACCAAGTGAGGAAACTGGGGGATGCTGTTGGGAGGGGCGTGGGGCACGAGCGCGCAGCTGCTGCTTCCATTACCTTCCTCCCATGGTCTCCTTCCGGTTCTCGATGCTTCTCTGAGTCTAAGGGTTTCCGCCACTCGTCTACCCTCCCCCCCAGCCCTGGCCCGCCTCCGTCCCCCGCCCTCCCCCAGTCCAGCCTCCGGTCTGTTTAGTAAGAAGGTGCTATTCCGAAAAGGAGAAGGAAAAGGGGAGGCACAGATTCACTCAGCCCTGGACGTCGGAAGTAAACCGTCTGCCTTCAGCCTCCTATTCGTCCAGTGCTCGCGACAGCGGCGTCGGCGGACTGATACGCGGCGGTGAAGAGGCAGGAGGAGGGGGGAGGGGCGGAGCGTGGCAGCTGGCAGTAGTTCCGTCAGAGCGGACATCTTGTGGCTGTGTCGTGCGCGTGAGCCCCGTAGGGCTGGGGAGGCACCAGCTGCCGCGCGGGGAGGAGGCCGAGGCCCCTCTGTACGCGTGGGTGTGAACGGCTAGGGGAAGGGAAGGGAGGCTGGCCCACTGGCCGGCCGGGTAAGAAGGGGAAGTACGGCTCTGGGTGGCTTGAGTGGCCAGCCTGTTGGGTGGGGTAGGGTGGGAAGGCTGGAGAAGCCGGGGCCTCCTGCTTAAGAGGGAGGGGGAATGGGCGCGTCCTCGCGCCTGAGCTGGGTTCTCAGGGGTAGCACGAGCGCGTGGTGGTGGCTGGGCGGGCGCGCTCGGGAGCGCGCTGGAAGGCGGAGTGTACGGTGGCGTCAGGGGCGACACAGAATAGCTTTAGCTGTGGGGACAGCAACACACATTAAGTCTCTTCCTTTATTTCCTTCCCCTCCCCGGCCGCACCTTTGAGCAGAAACCGAAAGAAGCCCAGCGTCAGTCCGGAGTCTCCTGGTTCCCCCTCCCCCCTTGCCTTTCTTTGCCCTAGTGACGCCGGTATAGCGCCGACTAGGCCCCGGCTCCTCCTCTGCTGGGCTCCGGACCCTGCCCCGCACCCACCCCTTTCTCCTACGCCTCTTCCTCTCCCACCCCGGTCTCTTCCTTTTGAGAGGCCGGGAAGTTAAACTTAGAGCCACCCCTCCGCTCTTCCCGTCACCCTTGCCCCCACTTCGGGCCGAAGCACGGCATAGAGGCTGTTGGCGGCTTTGCCACGCCATCCTATCCATCCCGGATCGCGACCGTTTTAAGGGACCTGGATTCATCAGGGTTTCTCCGGGGCCTTTGCGAGTGCTGATCTGCTCCGTTTTTGCAAAAGGCGCCTGTGTCTGGCGGAGCCGGTGTGAGAAGAAGAGACAATCCTTCCCCGGCGCCTGGATAATCAAGAGTTCTGGTTGGACCTTTGAGCACACACCGAGATAGCGAGGAGCCAGACGAAAAGCACAGACTATGGCGCTGAAACGGATTAATAAGGTAACTAACCCATGGGGACTGAAGAGAATGGGGTTGTGGGAGGAAAACAAGGCTCAGGCCCGGAGGAAAGCGCGGGGGCGGGAAGTAGAGTTCTGAAAATATCTCCTCTTGGGTCTCTTTTTCTATTGGGGGAATGGAGAACGCCGTTTGTACTTTATCATGAAATGAGGTTTAAAACTAGGGAACAGAGAACACTTGTGGCAAATGACGTGTTAATCGTGAGTGTGTTTAAATGGAATCGATGCAGATTGGGGGTGGGAGAGATTGACTTAAGCCACCTCGGTTTTCTGCTTCTTAAAGAAGTGTTAATTCCGTTTGGGGGTTGGAATTCCTGAGAGACGCTCCAGCAGATGTCACCGCACTTCCTATTCCTGGTGCTTGAAAATTTAGCTGTAAGATCAAGGCTGTAAGATCTAAGGCCTTCTAGGGGGGAAGAAAGGTGGGAAACTCAGAGGAGGGAAGGTCAGAAAGCTGGCCGATCCCGAACTTTATGGGGGGGGAGGGAGTCTTGCTGCTGAAGGGTAGTAAATGAGTCTGGTGAGAAACTCTTCATGGACTCTGGGCAGGTTACACAAGAGTAAGTGGGCTTGGGAGGAGCTGGACTGACACAATGTTGCCACTTCCTATGTTTTGTAGTTGCAGCTTTTCACCCAAAGATATCAGAGGCGCACGGGGAACTGATGTAAAAGCTTTCTGGAAGCTCCCTTTTTCTTTTTTTGGTGGGGGGGGGAGACAGTAAGTAAAGGCTAAGTGTACCTATTTTGCCTCAGCCGATTTAATAACACCTTCGGGGAGAATTGTTTCGCTGCTTACATACAATGTGGTTTAATAGTAAATTGTTGATCTAAGTTGGAAGTAGGCTGGGATTTTTCGAAGCTCGGGGGCGAGCGGAACCTCCACCTCCGGTGGTTTAGTCTCATTTTCTTGCTCTAACTTCTATTCTGCATTTTAAGATGGCGGCTGCTTTAACTGGTTCAGGCTCTTTCCGGCATCACTTTTCCTAATGATATGAAATAATATTCTTTGCTAAACGTTTACTTTTACATCAGATTGTGAACTGCTCTAAAATCCCCTGCTCAAGACTTACCTAAATTCAAACTCTCAGACTGTATTTCCCTTTTTTGTAACTTGTGTTTGTGTGGTGGATTTGGTTCTTGCACAATCGAGGAGGGTGGAGTACTTACAGCTAACTTAAAAAAAATGTCATGGAATGGAATAAATTCAGCCTTACTAGAAAATAGGAGAGCTTGTAGGTTAGAAACTTTAGTTTTGATAGGTTACTTTTTAAAAAGTTTATGGAGGGAATGGGGAAGACTTGGCTTTACTAAAATAGACTTGATGCTGCATAATTTGCATTTATTTAATAGATATGATTTTGGAGTTTTTTTGGCAAACTGGTATTTTGTGAAAGATGAAGGTATAACTCTTCACTCTTCACGTATTGATGCTGAAATCTTGCAATTTTTTTTACACCACCACTGCATTGTCATTGTGGGTTTATGCGAAATACGAACTTAAATCTTTGTGTTTTTGAGATGATGGAAAAGGAGAGGAAAAAAATTTTGTAGGCATAGAAGACTGTAAAAGGGATTATTTAAAAATAATAACACTTCTGTGACTACTTTGAAGGCCAGCAGCACATTGGAAAAGCATAGTTGTGTGTTAAGCATACTTAATACAAAGAACAAATCGAATACAAATCAAAACCTTTTATCTGTAGGAATTAGTTCAGACCCCTAGGATGTGGAATACTTTCAAATCCATACCTTTTTATTTCGTGTGGAATGGCACACTTTAAAGGAAGGTCTCACTGATTTTTTTTTTCTTTTACAGGTGATACCCAGCTTCTGTGACCCACTTTCATGATTTAAAAGTTTTAGAGAGGCAGTATAACATAATGGTTATGAGTGTGAACATTGGAGCAGAAGTGCTCCAGTTAGAATTCTAGCTCTGGGCAAGTTTATCTATGTGCCTCTGTAAGATGGGTATTTGTTGTATAAGGACAATAAATAGTTGTGTGCCTAATACATACCAAGCACTGTTGCAGGCACTCGGATGGCAGCAGTAAACAAAACAAATTCTAAGTTCTTAGGTTTTTATTTGAAGATTAAATGGGTTAATGTGTGGTTTCGAAAGGTCTCTGGCACATGATACTTCTAATAGCCATTACTGCTATCTTAATATCACAATTAAATCCTCAAAAGCCTTTTTTACTGAAGAACTTTGATTTCTAGAATAGCATTCTTAATTGATACCAGGTTGTCTTCTGTTGTAAATATTTTGAAGATTTATGTAATGCAAAGACTTGATGTATAAGCACTTTCCAAATTGGAAAACCCAGTGTCTGTTTGGGATATTATGAATTCAATCTATAGAAAATTCTGACATATATATGTGGTTTGGTTTTTAGCAGTTACTGATAGAATCACATGAGGAAGCTTTTTAAAAACATCCCAGATCCAAACAGAATCTTAGTGAGTAGACAACTCTGAAGGGGGATATTCTCTATCATTGCACCTCTGTTCTAGAAATATGGGGTCAAGTAGCCATTGGTGTCAATATGGTATTTCTTGTGTCATGCACCTATTTATTTTGAACTTATTATTGTGCGAAACCACCAAATTCCAAATATTGAGCTATCTCTGTATTCTCACTGAAGTTCTTATTATTGGAATACTTTTAACCTTTAGTGATTCATTTGATCAAGCCTTTGAATTTATTTTTTTTTTTTCTAGTTTATGTTCTTAAGTGTTTTTTGTTTGATTACTTAGATTGAACAACCTTACTTTGTTTTTTGCTGGATTCTTTATTTGGACAAGCTATAGTATGGTCTTAAATAGGGCCACTAAATAAGATTGAAAAAAGCAGAACTCCAAGTTGATTGGTGTTTTGGGGCCACTCCCATTAAACAAAATGACTGCAGTACATATGTTTTGGGGACATTTGAGGAGAACTTTACATAACCAAGCCTAAAAGAATAGCTGGTGCTTTCGTTGTTTGCAGTGTGTCAGAACTGTTTGAAACAATTATACTGACTCGTTTAATCGTGTAACAAACCTAGGAAGTAGATACAATTATATCTCCATTTTGAAATTAGAAAATTTACGCACAGAGAGGTTTTTAAAAAAAAAAAAACAACACCCAGGTTCATATTGTGGCAGAGTTGGGATTAGAAACCCAGAAACCAGGCTGTCTGACTCCAGAGTGTGTTCTCCCTAACCACTGCGCATTTATATCTTTTAGGTTTTCTTTTGCATGTAATACTGCCTACTACTAATAACAGCTAAGACGATAGGCACAGAGAGGTTAAGTTACTTGTCTAGTCACACAGCTAGTAAATGGCTGAGATTCAAATCAGAAAGCCTGCCTCAAGAGCTCAAGTTCTTTTTTGAACCATTTCAATTCCTATTTTAGAGTGTACATGTTTTAGTTTTTGCTACCTGAAGTAAGCTGCTGTGTTCTTTCTTCACATCTTTAAATAATTGGGATTTAGCTTTACTCTTGGGTTATAGCTAATTTGTGAATTAAGATTAGTTAATACATGTCTTGGAAGTGGTGAATTTAATTCTTTTTGGGTAATCTCTTCAAGGACTGGAAACCACTGTGTGTCAGTTAACTGCTAGGGTTATCTTAGAACAAAATGCACTTCTTGTCCCCATTGAGTCTATAGGCTTGGTAGATTATGTCTTTGTTTCTTTTGTGGTCCTCAAGGTTTGTCTGTAGCCAGCTAATTTAGTATGTAGGACAGTTATATGACTGAGGGATGCTGATCATATAGTGACTTTAGTATTTATTTAATTTGAAAAAGGTTGACTCTAACACTTATGTGCTTTTCTTTCATCATCATACTTATCTGCAGTGTTAATTCTAGTTATTGTTATTCATACAAACGTAAACTTGAATACCCTTGCTAGCACCGGGATAAACTACTTTTGTCGCTGCATTGCTCAGTCAAGCTTTATACATTAACTCCTGTGTTCAGGTGCCCCTTATTATCCAAGATACGGTCAGTTCTTGAGGATTCTTCAAAGTATTTTGCTATAATCTTTATCTGTTAAAGAAGAAACGAGGTTCCTAACTCTGAGATATAAATCTTTCAGATTAAATCCTCAAATCCTAGATTGGTTTTTTCATTCTTTTCTTCATAGATTTTTCTATTTGTTAGTATATATAATAAGAGCTGACTGTATATTATATATTGTGTATGTGGGTTTTGTTTTTGTGTGTGTGTGTGTATGTGGTTTTTTGTTTGTTTGTTTTGGTGGCTGGCCAGTACAGGGATCTGAACCCTTGACCTTGCTGTTACAGTATCGAGCTCTATGTATGTGGGTTTTGATGAGTTATATTTGTATAACAGAATGTTCAGAATTTTTAAAGGATATAGCTACATGGGGTCTTAAACTTACTAAAACATTTTCTCTGGAAACAGACTTAATTTTGAAATGTTCTCTAGGTGATTCTGAAGTCCCTCTCTGGTTAAGAACCACAGATACAGGGGGCAATCATTTAATCAATACCTAACTGAGGTAATAATGTGTGTTAGGCATAGTCTAGTTCCAGAGGATAAAAAATGAGGAAGACTGTCATTACCCATGAGAATCTTTGCCTTGAGTGGAACAGTCATGTTTGAATAGGTGTTTGTCACTTTGTACAACTTACTTTTCATGAATATAAATCTAGTAAGGGAAATACTTATTTAAAAGGGAAATCTTGGTATTCATATATCACATTTGCTTATTGCTGTTATTAAAGACAAATTTGTCTTGATCTTTTCTGCACTATATTTTGTCAATAACAGTGTGGTTTGTCTTTTATAACGACTTAACTCTGCTTACCAAAACAAACCAGTGTTTTGAAATTAGCAAAATTAAACTATTTTCATTCTTTAATTAGAAAGTTTATGGTCTTGATTTGGTCTTGCCACCAGAATGATGATCTTATTTCAAAATCGAACACTATAATTAAGAACGGATACATTTATTAAGTATCCTATTAGCCAG